GTAGTGAGTGCACTATGACATTGTTACCTCGGTGGCCTGGAGCCATTTAAGGAATAGTAGTGATGGTGGTGATGGCGATGGTCGGTGCTCACAGGGCGATTTGAGGGGGGCACGTTAATCAAAGACGAACTTGTAGGCTACAGCGGTTGTGAGCCGAGTTCTGACAGCACTCTTCAAACTAATGTAAAATTTTATCCATCTGGCCCCGCCACCGACTAATTACCACCACCAGCTAGGCTCTAACGACCCTCCAGCCACTCAAGAACCATCTCAGCCCCCGTGCTCCACATGATATCCTTCATAACATGATGTCCACTCCCCTCTATAACCCCAAACCTCACCACCTCTACGCCACTCTCCTGCCCCCCTTCTTCAACCTTCCCTTGAATACTCTCCCAAGCAACCCTATACCAAGCAGCAAATCTCTGCATCATTACTCCGTCCATGAGCTTATCCTCGCCACCAGCGACAATCAGCACCCTCCTTCCGCCCTTCAATGTAGGCAGAATTCTTCCGATCACCCTCTCAGCGGACACAAACTTTGTCATCGTGCCGAAGGCCCAACTCATGCTCTCATATTCCGGCATCGCACGCTCGATCTCGCGAACCGCCTGGGCCGGGAAGGCGCTAGAGAAGAATGCGTTGTGCACGAGAGCTGTGGATGACAGTGGGGAACGGGGGTGGCCGAAGTGCTTGCAGTACGTGCGGATGAGAAACCAGGGGTGGAACCTTACCCAGTTCAGGTATGCGCCCATCCTATTATGCACGATACGTTAACGCAACCAGCCAGCCAGCTTGGATAGCATTGTAGTAGCTGGGCGGGGAAAGGAGGAGGGGGGGTGAGTGGGTTATTACGATCCAAAGCCGGGTACTCCTGCTAAGGCCACAAATCCGCCAAACCTCTCCATATCCCCGTCGAGAATGTATTGCGCGAGGCCGGCGCCGGAGGAATGGCCAGCAGTTATGACGTTCTTAGAGTGTTTTGACCGAATATGCGCGATTGCGAGGACGACGTCAAGGGCGAAGGCATGTTTCGCTGACCCAATTAGCGTTGACACCCTGCAATGAAATTTTGAGAGATTTACAAGTCCAGTACATGGTCCAGAATCCCAGTTTATACGACGCTCCATGGCCCCGGAGAGAAAGAGAATAGCAGGAGTATCCATGCGATGAGAAGAATTGGAGGTAATTGGTGAATTCAAGTGCGCTCCCAAAGCCTAAGTTTGGAGTGGATTAACAAATCGAGCCCGAAGCGGAATTGAAGGGGGGAAAAAAGATGGAAGAAATCTACGATACCCCCATGGACAAACAACAACGGCTCCTTATCCTCCTCACCGGTCCCTCCGCTCCCCAGGGGAGAAGAGGTCAACAGCTCCAACACCCCACCTGGAGACGACAAATACTCCCTCTGAACGCCCTCCGGCAGTGCAGCCGGGGGCGCGGTCGAAGTCGACCACGATAACCGATGACGATAATCCATAGAAATTAACCTATGTCAACACCGGTAATCCGAAACCTTCTTTCCTGTGAGGAAGAGTGATAGACGATGACCCAAAGGACAGTGCTGGGTCTGAAGCAAGGTTTGTAAATTATCAGCGTCACAAGACTCCGGCACTGACACACTGTGAGTACCCCGCACAGAAAACTGGCACCACAAACAAACAAACCTCAACCAATCAGACTGCAAAGAAAGACTCGCCGACTCTCGCGACTCGAGAATCTTGCAATCCCAGAGGAGACGTGCGCATGACACCGCTATCACTCCTTTTAAACCACTTCTCCAGCTCTCAATGTGGGGAGGACCGGAACTCCAAAGGACTGATTGTTCCACCGAGCCAAGCTTTGTGGCTGACTACGTGTTGTGGAATGTAAATGTCTTAGATTCGTTGCTCCTGTTATGATACAAATACCGGTACCGTACTGTGGGTAAAAGCAATACCGAGACACGAGTCCTGGGGAAAATCGGTGGGGGTGGGATTGGCGATCGATTAGCGAGGGGGGGCGGAATGTTCTGATTGGTGTTGCAGCTTTGTGCACCAATACGAGTATTGTGCCCCGAGCGCTGTTCTTTTTTATTTTGTTATCATAATAATACGGTAATCCACTTCTCCACTTCTGGAGTGAGGAATGTTTCTGTCCTTCATACAATATCACTCGCGTTGTAATATCTGGAGTTGTGCACGTTCGCAGGGGGCAAGGCTTGAAGTGACGCTTTCTGCTCGACGATGACTCCACCCAGCTAAGCCCTTGACAGCGGCTTCAAAGTGATCACCCGTAGGATCACTAGTCGTCCCACTGCCACACACCACTCCTAACGCTCTGGGACTGATTAATCCATTTTTCTCAACTACAGGAAAGATAGCCAGTAATTAGGATGCTATCAAGGATATGCAGAATGCAATGGATCCCGTTCAGTGATCAGTGATCTCGTACCGAGAGACAAACAAATGACACTATCTGAAACTCATAGGAGACATTGTGCCTAAGAAAATCCCTAATTTCCCACGGGGAGCGCACATCTGCCAATTCCCCTCACACATTAATCTTCCCTCATGAAGACAGAGTAAAAGACCGGGACATAAAAAGATTTATGCCACCTTACTAGCCAGCTAGTCATATACCTTGACCTGAACACCCCTCAAGTGGTATCTACCCCCGGCAAACCGGAGAAAAATACGGTGCCTTACGCCGGGCGCCCAGAGAGACCGACGCCAGGACGGGAGGAAACACAAACTTCAAGGAACAAAAAAATTAATTAACAGCTTGTTGTTCGCGCCCTGCTCCAGTGTTTTTTTCGGTGCGGGGAGGAAAATGTATACTCAGCTACGGCGCGCAGAACGGACGGCACTGGAGGAAGTTATGTACTATACCAACCAACGAGAGAGATATATATATCCCTTCGAGAAATGAACTTTTAAGGTGTTGGCCACTACTTGCTTAATTAAATTAGTAACTGTCCACGCCAATGTTGAAAGGGTGGTTTTCGTGGTGGCAATGGCCATCACTATATAAGCAGCTTGGCTCCTTCTCGAGAATCTGTATGTGATACAAGTTGACTTTTTGCAAATCAAAAGAGGCAAAAACAACAATTCCTTCTGATTTTTGACAGCTCGTCTTTCCCGACTAACTCCGGCGCGGATGTCAGACCTCCACCCCTAGGTTGCATCATTCGGAGTAAGGCTTCATGGTGCGTTGCGCCTGCCTCCTCCATCCAGGACTGGGGGGGGTGACACCCGACGTTGTGTGAGGGTGGAGGATCATAACCATGAAAAATAGTTCTTTTTTTTTTTGAAGATCGTGTGCTCAATTTCACAGTACCAACAAGGTTTTATTTATTTATTTCTTCCTTTTTCCCCTTACCAACTGTGAGGAAATACAAGAGTATTTCCCCTGATCTCACAACATGGGTACGTAATCTATGTTCAAAAATCTCATGCTTACCCGTCCCCGGGAAGAACTGAGCGTCCATTCAAATTCCGTGACAAGTCCGCATGCCCAGTTCTCTCTCTCCCTGCTCTATTGCAAAGTGTTGACCTATCTACCAGCGGAAGTATCGTTAATGATTCCTCTAGATTTGAAAGTATCGAAGGAAGCCCGTTTTGAGATTTTTTTTATTTTTTTTTCCTTTTCTTTTTCCCCCGAGTTTAGGGACAACAGTCCAGTGTTTGCCCGTAGGAGTGGTTACACACTCAAAGGTTAGAGAAATCACAGGTATAATACCGGGCCAACGATCAGTAACAGCCATATCCCTCCATGTTTAAAAGTGAATAAATAGCGTCCTGTGGAAAAATATCCACGATGGAAACAAGTGGTTCGGCTGAGAGATAGGAACCGTGCGCGACGGGTACCGTACATTGATAAGTGTATAGGAGAATAAGGATAGGAATGTTCTAGTATTCCATGCTTATGGCAATTCTATTCAGTGCATTGCGGCCCGACTTTAAAAGTTCCTGCTTTCCCAAGTCTTAACCTGGGTATGCATGAAGCTGATTAAGCGAGTGATGTATTGTGAACCAGAAAGTAGCTGGGGGGGGCCAAACCGCCCCCCTCGCGGGCTGTCCGTGTTCCACCGATTCTTTCTTTCTTCCAAGCGATTGGGGGCATATCCAAAGTGTCCATAATGGTATTCACTGATCCGGAGACAAGAGAACTGATACATCTCCAGCACATATCACAGATGCCTCCACGATCGGATGATACACACCAGGGTATTAATTATTCTATCCCACTAGACCTCCCGGAGCCCCCACTAATTGTCTAATGTGTTTCTTCCTGATATCTCAAACCCCCCTTGTTTTCATTCGCTCACTTCCCGACTGTTTGCTTGTTTGCTCACTGAGAAGTTTTCCTTTCTTTTTTGTCACATTTGTGTTTGATTCTGTGCTTCCCCGATATCTGCGTATGAACAAAGGCCCTCACTGAAAATGTTAACGTCCTTACTTTTCGCTTCGTATCGTGTCGTATCAGACCCCATTCCATCCATGGGATCATGACTACTAAAGTTACCTAAACCGAGTGACACTCTATGGGCTCACACCACCGGCGACAGGGGGGGCAACAATATTCACAAGTACTGTACAATTGCACAATGAGAACCCCCCAACTCTTCCAGTTCCTCACTTCTTGCACCAAAAAGGTCATGCACTCTACGGTGCCAAACATCCGTAGCCTTCAGTCTGTTGGACTGACGACGGACACGCGCTCTGTTGCACAGTACTGTACATACCCTAAGGAGCAAGTCCCGGGCCCTTTTTTGTGAAAATTTTATTTGTATGATATTCGGGATAGATAGATTAATTTGGGCGCTCAATGCCTTTTTGGGGGGGGGGGGGGGTAGAATATCCCATAACAGCCGATAATCTAATGGACAATAACTTAGTACCTATTTCACCTGAATACACCTTTTTTTTCACACGTGAAAAAGCAATATTGGGGTGGTATTGGGTCAAATTCCAAAAGAGGAAGAAGGTTTAGGAACACCAATTGGTGAAACAAAAGATGGATTGATCGATTGATTTCTAGGCCCCTCGAGGGTCATGGCAACTTATAACAATTAGGAACTCAGAAGGTGTTCCTCTGGTAGAGTTTATTGGACGGGTTTATTGGGAAGGGGGAAAAAAATGCCCCCTATTTACGATTTTTTGTGGATCGCTCCGGCGCCTGCCTGGTGGCTCGGGTAAACCATCATATCGGCAAGAACAACATTCTCCCTTCTGCCGGCGGCGAAGACGATGATTTCAGCGATGTCGTCCGAGGTAAGTGGTTCGCATCCGCTGCTCATACACGGATTAACACAGGGGTTCCGAAACGCAAAGCGGAGAACCTGTGGAGGGGGACGTACGCATATACACTATTGGCTCTAGCCCTATCACCCCTAAACCTCACGACTGAGAATTCGGTTTCGACTTGTCCGGGGTCAATCTCCATAACTCTGATCCGCGTAGAGATCAATTCTCTTCTCAGAGAATCAGTGAAGCTGCGAACGGCAGCCTTGGTTGCACAATAGATACTTCCACCCGCGTATGGTTCCCTACCAGCGATGGAACCGACGTTTATTATGTCCCCGCGATTGCGAGATTTGAAGCCTGGAATGATGAGCTGGGTCATGTTGACGAGTCCAGTGACATTTGTGGAGAACATGACGTCAATGTCCTCTTCTGCGATGCTCCCAACTGTTTCAACACCTTTAACAAGACCCCTGTAAGGAACAACAACAGCATTAGCAAACCCACCCTTGCGTCATTCATCACACACTGCAGCAAGAGTAGTAGAACAGAAGCATACGCATTGTTGACCAAAACGTCCACCTCTCTCCACTCCTCGGGAAGCCTGGCCAAAAATCCCTTCACATCCGCTGGATCAGAGACATCCAGACGAGCAGGCAGCACCTTTGTGGCTCCAACACTCTCCTTCTCAATTGTTGCGGCAAGCTCTTTCAAAGCTTCTTCCCTTCGTGCAGTAACAATCAATTTTATTGTAGGGGAAGTCCTAGAAAACTCGATTGCGGTTGAACGACCGATGCCAGAGGAGGCACCAGTGATCAAGACAATCTTACCCGCTAGGCGAGCGGGCATTGCGGAATGAGACATCCGAAGGGAGAAAACACGAGCGTATGTGGTGGGGGTGCGGAATAGGCGGGGGAAGAACATGCAAGTTGGGAGAGATGTCTATGTAGACTAATGTGTACACAAACCGGCTGATTTGTTAGGGGAGAGGAGTGGGTTGGTGGAGGCTCTGCTGGAGAAAGGTACGGTTCGGCAGGGTAGTTAGGATACCGGTACTCGTATGGGAGCGCGGGGATCGGGTGTTTTGGTTTGTCAGATCGGGCTAACTCGGCTCAGTTACAGTTGTTGGCAGTCTACCCACCCCTACAAGTACTAGGGGGTTGACAAAAGTCGGGTCCCTTTCCTAAAGGGGATGTGATATTTACATATGGGCTAAAGCAGGCTAGGAAATTCGAGTGATGGTTGGTGAGTTATATTTGGTGGCGGCAAAAAGTCGGGTCCTTTCTACAATAGGAACTACTATGAGTGATACATTATGTGTAACGATCCCTCTTTGGATAGTTAGTTCTTGGCGATGGGGAACGATACTTCTCGTTTCTGTCTTCTTGTTTCTTTATCTTACGATAGCTCTAGGCCTCTGCCTACGTTACCGATAGTACAAGACCTTTGTCTTCTATCAGGAATGCCTATCGTAAGCTTTCTCAAACTTGTCTTCGTGAAGAACATTCCTTGGCGTAACGATAACATTGCAATAAAGATAAAGATCGTAAAGGTGTTTTATATTCGTTAAAGTAATAAGTAGAAAAAGTACTTAGAACAAAGTGTGAAGAACCTATCCTCCTTGGCCGCATTGGCCTCCTTATATAGTATTCTTCCCGCCCATAGTCATGTGACCCAAAGTGGTCACATGTGCGAAACAAAATCATAACAAACTAATCATGTGACCAAAGTGGTCACATGTTCAAAACCCATGACCTCATAACGAGGTTATGTGTAAAAACTCATAAACTAATCATAACGCAATAAACAAGTCATATGACTTGACTGAGTCATATGCGCGAAACCCATGTTCTCATAACAAGGTCATGTGCTAAACATAAATCATATGTGCAAGGCTTACCTGCGAGGCATACTCGCAAGGCACACTTGCCAGGTGCATGTGCCATGACTCATATTTGAGCCATGTTATAACCGGTACGGGTACTCGGTTATTGGTTTTGTTTTAAGTATCGTTTGATACTTGGTTTTGTTTTATGTTTTGTTTTAAGTATCGCTTTGATACTTGGTTTGTTTTAAGTATCGTTTGATACTTGGTTTTGTTTTATGTTTTGTTTTAAGTATCGCTTTGATACTTGGTTTGTTTTAAGTATTGTTTGATACGTGGTTTTGTTTTATGTTTTGTTTTAAGTATCGCTTTGATACTTGGTTTGTTTTAAGTATTGTTTGATACTTGGTTTGTTTTAAGTATTGTTTGATACTTGGTTTTGTTTAATATTTTGTTTTAAGTATCATTTGATACTTGGTTTTGTTTTATGTTTTGTTTTAAGTATCGCTTTGATACTTAATTAGTTTCACCAAAGTGTATCGATTGATACCTTTGATTAGTTTCGTTCATGCTAGACATGAACAGATTTGTGTATTTAAAGACCGCCTGTTTCTACAAAAGAAAAGGCAGACTTCGACAGACAGTATTTCAATATACTTGGTTGAACGGTTACTTCTTTGTTTCTCAGTACACCCTCGAAGCCTCCTTTAGCTTTGGGCTCTCACCTCCTCTCTGGGAGAGCAGGCTACCTGCCAACTATCGTATCTATTACCGATAACGTGATTAGCATATTGCGAACACGTTACATTTTTTTAAACTCAGCAAGTGGTTAAGAACCTGTTCCCAGATTTAGGCCTGATCAACCTATCGATATCCACCTTAGAAGGCTAGCGGAGAGAAGCGGCAGAATCACGGCACATTCGGCTTCGTCTCAAACCCAACATAGAGTCTTTAACGACCAGGAGTGGGAAGCAGATTCCACGACAAGACCTTACAAGAAAGAAACAACCCCGGTGCTCTGCTAAAGAGCCGAAAGAACCTGCAAACACGGAAGATACACAACCCCCAGGAGAATTTCCCTCCATACCAGTAAAGAAACCTTCCTTTGAACCTCCAATTGACCACAAATCTAGTAGTGAATCAGACATGGCTAATACAGGAGGAGGACCTTCAGGAGGAGGACCTTTGGGAGGAGGAAAATCTCATACTCAAGAAGAGGAAGTACCCGCAGCATTTGAACCTCCTAAGTTTAAACTCCACCTCCCAGCAAAGTTTACAGACGAAGGAAAAGCCCTCAAACCTGAAGCCTTTGACCAATGGGCGACGGAACTCTCACACAATCTTCTCCTGCAAGGGAAAGATGTGGAAGACCCGACAACAGGACTATACATTGGATCATTCTGCGAAGGGAAGGCAACGACGCATACCACCAATGCTATAAGGATTACAGCGGAAATGTAAGATTGAGAGGATCTACAGTCCTCGATTACCTGAAAGGTCAATTCCAATCATCTATGACCAACGACCTCCTATACAACAAATTCAACCAGCTCCAGCAAGTTAATGGAACACATGTCAAAAGGATTACGGATGTAGCTATGGACCTACTAATGTATAAGGACCTAATGAACAAAGGGAGCATTTCCAACTACATCCTTAAGCGACGATTCTATGATACTATGCATCCTACCCTCCGATGAGAGGTTGAACCACTCGAGGAAGACGATGACGATATTGCAGTAATAATTACAAGAGTAGAACGGAAGGACGCCATTCTCCAGGAGACCAAGGCATACAAAACACAGACATCCTCTAGTAGAAATAGCCAACCACGACACAAACCCTCTAGCAACTCTGAAGATGATATCCCATGGGCTTTCAAGAAGAAAACCAAATTCTCCAAAGAATTGAGACGACAGAAGGGAGAATGTTTTGAATGTGGAAAAACAGGACACATGGCAAAGAACTGCCCTACGAAGAAGGGGAAAGGAAAGGCTATTAAACAAGAAGCGTCGGCCAACAACATTGAGAATGATAGTGATGATGCCCAATCCAGCGAATACGAGGAGATTCATATCGGATATATCGATGTGGAGTGCAACAGTGTCCGACCTCCGGCTACATTTAAGGCACATACTGCTCTGGAAGGTACAGTTCTCATCAATGGTAAGAAGGCTCAAATCCTATTCGACACTGGTGCAATCGGAAGAGATATGATCAGCAATATCTTTGTTTCTGTCCATGGACTCCCAACTCGAGACCTTAACCAACCCATACCAGTCAATATGGCAGTTAAGGCATCACGATCCACAAGCCATAAAACCTGCAGCGCAACTATTCGACTTGGTTCTGCCATCCTGCTCCCCCAGGAAATGCTAGTAGGCAACTTAGCCAAATACGATGCGTTGATAGGAATGCCATTCCTAAACCGCCACAAAGCTATAATCAGGTGTAGGGAATCAACCATTAATTTTCCAGATCAGAAGGTCAGAGTTTCCTGTAAGGCAACAAGTGGAGAGTACCGAGCTGCAGTTTGCGAAACAACTACCCAACACCTATTGGATGAATACTCTGATGTATTTCCTGATCAGATATCCGAAGAACTACCACCTATGAGAGAAGTGAACCACCACATCCGTCTTCGAGACCCCTCTAATCTTAAGCACCAACCGACCTATTCAATCTCTGACGCATACAAAAGCTCACTAATTGACTGGATCAATCAACAACTGAGAAGAGGAGTCATCTACTGAGCAGAAGCCCCAAGTGCCGCTCCCATATTTGTCCAACCCAAAGTAGATGGCAAAAGGATCTGCCCCTTGGTTGACCTCAAACTACGGAATGACAACACGGTTATGGACAGTTCCACTATCCCAAATCAAACCCAGATCCAGAATGCAGTTAGACGGGCTAGATTCCGAAGCAAGATTGACCTAAGCGATGCCTACTTCCAAACAAGGCTAGATCCGGAATCTAAACACTACAACAGTTTCAAAACACCCTTCAGAAGTTTCATTAGCCGGGTCATGTTGCAAGGCGATATGAATGCGCCCGCCACCTTTATGCGGATTATGGAAAATCTCCTAAGCAAATACCTCCACCATTTTGTCTGGGTCTATATTGATGATATTCTCATCTTCTCAAACACCAAAACAGAGCATGCCTACCATATGGGTTTGGTTTGTACCAAACTAAGGGAAGCTAAATTCTATGCTAGCAAAAACAGATCAATCCTGTTTGCCGATAAACTCGATATCCTGGGACATGTTATAGATAACGAAGGAATACATGCAGTCCCTGGAAAAATATCCTGTTTAATGGAATGGGCGACACCCCGGAATTAAAAAGAACTTATGCGATTCCTAGGGCTAGTCAACTATATTTCCCAGTTCCTACCACACCATGCCACTGTGACAGCGCCGCTCACAGATCTTACCGGCAATGCAGAATTTGTCTGGACCCACACTCATGACCAAGCCTTTACCAACATCAAGGAATTGATTAAAAACACCAATGTTATACTACCTATTGATTACAGTAAACCAGAACTGATATGGCTGATTACTGATGCATCGGATGTTGGAGTTAGAGCATGGGTTGGACAAGGAGCCTTCCATGAAACAGCAAGACCGGCGGCATTACACAGCAGGAAGTTTACTAATTCACAGATGAATTACGGAACGACAGAGAAGGAAGCCCTTGCTGTAATTGATGCTCTTGCCGCATTCAACCACATCCTAATGGGCAATACCTTCACCATTGTTACTGACCACCAACCTCTCACTAATCTTAAAGCAGAAAGAATACCTGGAAGGAGAAGCACAAGATGGATAGGCGAGATCAGCAAATATGATGCAAAAATCACCTATACCCCTGGAAGAACAAACTATTTAGCTGATGCTCTCTCCCACCTATATGAGAATCAAGACCTCACAGACCCTCCTCTTGTTCATGACCACATAAGACAAAGCGAAGACAGCCCTGACGACACCTCCTATGAACAAGAACCGTCGATGGCTACTGCCAGCTCTGCCACTCCCTCCAACCCTTTCTCTTATACCATGTACAGAGCGGCGGGAACGGAACGAGGAAAGGACATTGAGGACAAATGGAAAGACAATTGCACCCTCCGCAATACACCTCCTCACGAACTTGAACAAAGCAGACTTCACTGG